TAGTATCTTGCTAAATAAAGCAAGTAGCCATACATTAGATGCATTATATTCTTTTCTCATGTACTAGTTTTATATACTTGGAAATTAACAGACTCTTTAGGATATAAACTCAGGGAGGAAAGAATACCTTTTGTTCAGTGGTTTTCAAAAAGATCTGCTATTAGAAAAGCAGCATTTTCATGTAGGTGCCTGAAATAAACTCAGTATAAGCCATACCTTAGTCTTTCCAAAAAAACCCTTCATTCTCATTCATTTTCTCTCCCTCTCTCTCTCTCTCTCTCTTCTGTCCCCAGTCCAGTGTTTAAATTGGGGGATGGGCGTTTGAAGATGGAATGGAGAATACTATCCTCTCCTCCTTTAGGAAAAGAGAATAAAAATGGAGACTGCCTTATTAGAAAACAGTACGCAAGGAAGTTAGAGCTGTGATGGTCATAGCAGCACATCTAGGTCTCCTCAGGACAGATGGTAGCTTTTAGACAAAGTAAGGAATATGGTTCTTTGCTCCTTCATAGTTAGATGAATGTTCAAGTTGAGGCACAGTGTGGTTCCATGGGAAGTCCAAAGTCAGCATGGCCTCCTGGCTCATGCCTACCAGGAGTGGCCACAGTGCCCCCTCCTTTATGGGCCTAGCACTGACACCACTGTGCTGACCCTGTGCTGAATCTTGTGATAGACAAGCATCCACTCTTCTCTGCCCCAGTTTTCTGAGTCTGGCTTAGATGAGCTGGATACAGCTAGTCTCTGGCTGAACCATGAGAATGAATAGTTTGGCATATGGAGCTGGTTACATGGTGCTTATTAGCCCTTGCTGCCCCAGGAGATCCTGGTACGAGGAAGGAAGAGAAGGCTGGCGTCAACCCTGTTTGCCTTGGAGCAGCCTAAATCCCAACTCCTGGGGCAGAGCTTGTGCTGTCTGTCTGGCCCTTAGGCTGCATTGAGTACATGGTCCCACCCATCCTACATGTTCTCACCAGCCTCAAGGGGCTTTATGCGCAAGCTTTAACACACCTGCAGAGGGAGGTGGCACCCTGGGACCGAAACCAAGAGAAACATCCCAACAGGGAAAGAGAAGAGTGGCATCACTGCCTCCCAGCTTGGCCCCCAGCAGTGCTGAGATGCATCTTTAACAATTTTGTTTTTGGCACTGGAGATCGAACTCGGGACCTTGCGCTTTCGAAGGAGGCAGCAGAACCACTGAGCTAAATCCCCGGCCCAAGATGCATCTTTAACAAGCAAATGATTCAGATGTAGAAGCCCAGTGCCATAGTAAGGGCAAGCAGGTGGGTGGGTAGGTGAGTGGGACAGGAGACAGGTACTAACTAGAAGGGACAGAAAAGCTGTGAACAAAGGCCCAAAGGCCCTCGAGCTGCTTGGCTCTGTATTTAGAACGGTAGTTTATATTGACATCAAATAAGTTGTTAGAAAACTGGTTTCACATTTTTTTTTTCTTGGACAGAAGAGGATTTGTGACCAAAACTGTAAAATTCTCTCATTTTTTTTTTACATTTTAGTTACCTCTTGATGCTTTTAGGTTTCATAGACTGTCACCTTGAAATGATCCTGTTAACAGAGTTTTCCTTGGGCCCTTAATCCCCTCAGTTTTTATACTATTCCAAAATAGTTTTCTTTGAGGAGCAGTGTTAGTATTTATAAATGTCTTTTCCTCCCCTGCCCAACTCTGAAGTTCTTGATTAGCTATGTTTCATAGACTTGACTCCTTTTAACAATGCCTGATCATCAGTATTTTCAGACTAACTTCTTGCTATTTGCTTTAAAAATCCTTTACTTCATAGATAACATCCCTGTTGAAGTAGTCCAGAAACAACAACCAAAACAAAAAACACTTTTTTTTTGTGACCACACTGGTGATCACACCTTTGCCTTGTGCCTAGGCAAGTACTCTATCACTGAGTATATCCCCAGCCCAAAATTTCATTTCTCATAATAAGACTTAGTCACTAGAATCTAGATTATGTAAATTTTTCTATTGGGCATAGATAAATTGGCTCATTTTCTTTATATGTAGAAAAAGTGATTGTTAATTGTCATCTCTTGACATGTAAGGATATTCTGGTGTGTTTTTAAAGATTTTTGGATCCATTTATTATATTTCACAAGTGCTCTTCACACCCCAAGAGTTAACATTAATTCTAGATATGTTCTGTTTTCACTTTACATTTAACTTACAAGAAACATTTTACTGTTATGCTGAAAAAAAATGCTGAGATTTCATTACTCAACTCTTATGTCTTCGAGACCAATTTATTTGGCACGTTAAATATTTATATCCAAGTTAGAGGATCTGAAGTTCTTCTGCTAAACATTATCCTTATAAATATATTTGTCTTGGGCCGGGGATTTAGCTCAGTGGTTTCGCTGCCTGTTGCGCAAGCTCAAGGACCCGAGTTCAATCCCTAGTGCCAAAAAACAAAAATTTATCTTTATTCTGTTTTTTTTTTTTTTTGGTTGGTACCAGGGATCGAACTCAGGACCTTGTTCTTGTGAGGCAGGTGGCAGAACCACTGAGCTAAATCCCTGGCCCATATTTATCTTTAAATATATTTAAAGTGAATATCCTTTGATGAACTTTTATTTCTAAACTTGGAAAATAACTTCCAAGCCTACTCTTTGTTTTCCTCCTATATTTGCTACCTTCCTCTCTCAGTCATTCATTCCATTTAAACTTGTCTCTGTAATGATAACAAATTTACTATATGGTCCTGGACAGGCCTGTTTCTTTTTTTAAAGCTAAATTGAGTTTCAGTTGGTTTTCATTTGATTTGACACATTGATTTATGAGTATAGTAAAAAAAGTCATCTGACATATATTTTGAGAGGATGTAAGATGATAAACAGAACTTAGAAGCCTCTTAAACCTTGTTATTGGCAGGTCTAATTAGTGCATTTGATGTTAGAGACCTAGTTAAAAAGCAGAGAGAGGGTCAAAAGATTGGAAAGCCTTTGGAGTAGGGCAAACAAAAAGTATATATTAAAGAATTCTAATTAGTCAAACAGCTGCTTTGGTGATCCTCTGACAGCTAGTGTCTATCTGGCTTTTCTGATTTATCTAAAAAGAGGTACACATGGTTAAACTTTAAAATTCAGTGTAACAGTTCCAAGAGTCTTAACCGGAGTTTTTAAATCACAGAATTCTATTATTTGTCTTGTTTGATGATCATCAAGATTTGACTGCTGCTCTAGTAGACCTTGGAAATGGTTTTCTTACTTTGCCTTGCACTTATTGGGGCATCATACTTGCAGTTGATTGAAATTCATTTGTATATAGAATAATAGCTATTGAGCATTGAATGTATCCCAGGAAGCTTTACATCAATGATGGCAAACCTTTTATAGACCGAGTGCCCAGACTGCAACCCAAAACCCACTTATTTATTGTAAAGTGCTAACATTGCAGTTAAACCTGAATACTCCAATTAAACCTAAAACCTGAATACAGCTCAAACACTTGGCTCAAGTGCCCACTGTGTCACACATGCCATAGATTCACTACCACTGCTTTAGATAGTCTTTTTTTTTTTGGTATTGAGAATTGAACTCGGGGCCCCATACTTGACAGGTAGGCACTGTACTTCTGAGCTATATCCTTGGCCCATCACGTACAGTCTTAATTTTTCAACCATCCTTCAAAGCTAAATAGTACTATCACTCTATAATAGAAACACAGATCTGGAGAAGCCACAATTTAACTCCATATGTTTAACATAGTGATTTAAGATCATAAAACCTGGGACCAGATTGCTACCTAGTAGCTTTGTGATATCAGGCAATTTACTCCTGTCTGATCTACTTTTCTAATCTATAAGATGGGACTAGTAAAAGCCCATCTTTGTTAGGGCTATCATGAAAATTTAGTTCATAAGTGCAAAGCACTTAGAATAGTATCTGGTATATAATACTTAGCACTTAACATTTTTAGCTGCTGCTGCTATTCTGCTGTAGTATTGGTCAAGAATTCTAAGTCATGTGACAAATATTTTTTCCCCCAAGATTACAGGTAGATGGTGAGGGAGACTGTAGAACTATGCTGAAGAGGAGAGAGAATTATTAAACGTTTATTCCCTGAAAAACTATTCCTGAGATATTAGATGTGAATCATACATAGTAGGAGATTGCCAAGATGAGCCGATCAGTTAAGATTCTGTTAGGGGCTGGGGATTTAGCTCAGTGGTTCCGCCACCTGCCTCACAAGCAGAAGGACCCAAGTTTGATCCCTGGTACCAAAAAAAAAAAAAAAAAAAAAGATTCTGTGGTGTTAGCCCTAGGAAATGTGTCCCTAGGAAATGGTAGAAATGAATGATAATTATGGTGAATAGACTTTTACCCTTTTAAGGGGTATACCAATGCAGGAAGTTAGAAAGCTTCCATACAAAGCTGTACTAGTCCAGAGAAACCATACCTAAATAAACAAATCCTGAAAGTGGAAACATGTCAATTCCAGCCAGAAAAGAAATCTTCATTGTTCGTTATCAAAGCCTTCCCACTTTGCAAATCATTTTATATGAGTACTCTACCTGGGAACAGCTTTATTAAGCTGCTAAACCAAAAAATATTTATAGGGCCAGGGATTTAGCTCAGTGGTTCCAGCGCCTGCCTCACAAGCACAAGGTCCCGAGTTCGATCCCTGTTACCAAGAAAATAAAATTTATAAAGGCATCTGCTACAGAGTAGTGTTGATAGGTCTATGAACTAGTCACATTCAGATGTATATATTACATGACACACAATTGGATGCTAGCTTTTAATTTTATCCCTTTGGTCCTGAATTATTTTGGGGGTCTACTAGATTTTCATCTAGTTTCCAGTTCTTTCAAAGTGTTGTTTTAAAGAAGCTTACATGGTTTTTCCTCTTTTTTCTTTTTTGTTTTTGTTTTAAATTAAAGCAGTTGCACTGTGTTAAAAATTCTTCCTCTTTTTTGGAAAAGTAATGATTTTACTGTACATTCTCAACCTCATTTCCATTTGATTCTTGGGTCTCACAGGAATCCTTCAACTGCTTTCTACCAAGCGTTCCATTTGAACATGTTTCAGGAATCAAAGAGCCTCTGGGATAGGTATGAATACTTACATGTAATGCATACATGCAAAGTGTATGCATGAATTGCTTTGCATAAAACTGACCTTTGTTATAAGGGAAAAAATCATGTGGTACTAGCATGGGACAGAGCAGCAAAATAAACCAAAAGGACAGTTTGTATTTTATATAAACTATAAACATGTTTTTCTGTTCACTGCATTTTATGTACATTATTAATTTTTTAAAAGATTTGCCTAGTCTATTGAATTTTATGATATGAATTAACTACTTTTATTTTAATACAAAAATTATTATGTAAAATAAACTGCAGTTATTTTAATTTTGTGCTATTTTACATGATTTCTCTGTAAAAACTACAATAACAGGGCCGGGGATTTAGCTCAGTGGTTCCGCCACCTGCCTCGCAAGTGCAACGTCCTGAGTTCGATCCCTGGTACTAAAAAACCCCCAAAAAACATAAAACAAAATATTTCACATTGAAAAATTGGAGGAGGAAATTAATTTTTTAAAACATTGGAAGAGGGACAAGACCGAGATATCAAAGCAGTCATAGTTTCTTTTCTTTTTTTTTTGCAGAACCAGGGATCGAACTCAGGACCTTGTGCTTAGCAGGCAGGCACAGCGCTACTGAGCTACATCCCTGGCCCTTGACAGTCATAGCTTCTGACTAGAAATTTTGAACACTGAATTTGTTTAGTAGTATTTGGTAGATCTCCATTACTGACTTGTAAGCCCTTAAAACAGTTGCTTTCTCACAACTGCTGCATAGATTCTGTTAACTTTTAAAAACATAAAGTATTGGAGATCATTTTGGGCAAAAAAAACCATACTTTGGTTTATCTTTCTGCTTAACACACATTTTAAGTAGTATATGTTCTGTTCGGTTATTTTGCTGATTATTTATTAGTACTATTATCATTCTGTAATAGAAGGAGCGCAAACTTTTCAAAATTTACACAAAGCTTGTTAGATTCTTTTAACCTTGCCTGGCAATGCATTTGTGTCTTCTGGCGTAGTTTTGGATAACACTCATGGGCTCAACTTCATCTCTTTCATTAGAAAAGAGTATTGCATGTACATGTCATACTAAGACGTGGTCTTTATTGCCTAGAAATGATAATACTTTCTTAGGCTTGATTTGCTTGTGTGTGTCACTAAAGATACTTTCTACCAAAGTATCTCTTAGAATGTATATTCCTTACCAAAAATATGTTTGAATGGTCACTTTTGGAACAGAAAGTTTAAAATTTATAGTAATAGGTTTATAAAATCAATTTTTAAAGAGTTCTCCTATAGCAGTATAAGTTAATACTATATAGGATATAAATTATGCCATGAAACAAGCATGAGGATAGAATATGAGTATTTTGGAGTATGTTCTTTGTATTTTTCCTGAAGAAAAAGGAAAAAAAGCAGTCTGTTTAGAAATGTAGTCAGAGTAGAGCTGGGCGTGGTGGTGCACGCCTGTGATCCCAGCACTGGAGAGGCTAAGGCAGAAGGATCGCCATGAGTTCAAGGCCAGCCGGGGCTACAAAGCGAGACTGTCTCAAAAAACCAAAAAAAAAAAAAAAAAAAGAAATGTCAGAGTAGTTTTCAAATGAATTTTAATTTGAAAACTTTTAATATTTCAACTAACTTTCTTTGGCTACTATATAAATATATTATCTTTGTCAAAACAGTATAAGAAGGCTTGAGTTTTACTTTTCATTATTTGTATCTCATATTAAGACAGTTCTTTGTTTCATTTTATAAAACAACCATGAAAGTTGACTGATTATTTGATTTTACAGCTAAATACTCCTTACCTGTTTTCTTTCATAGATACCACAAACTTTTAAGGTGTCAGAAATGAGGCAGGTTGCTTTATCTGTAGTTTCTGATGGGTTAAAACATATTCTCTTCTTGGAGCCTGTTGTCCAGAGCCAAAAAAGTTAACAGACGATTTTCTATAGTGTGTTAATACCAAAACAGTCATAATTTACATTGTTGATCAGCCATTCTTTGCTGGAAGTTGTCCTGTTGGTATCAGGGTGACAGGGCCAACCCAGTGAAACTGACTAATGGCTTCCTTATAAATTTTCAAGTAACCTGTTAAATTTTTAATTGAAAGAAGCAAGTGGCTACCTTTATTAGTTCTAACAATCTACCATGTCAGTTGCCAAATACCTAGACTTGTTGACAGATGTTATTGGATACGAAAGTATTGTGGTACTGTTTATTCATTGCAGACAGGTTGAACATTTGTATATGTTAAGCCTTAAAGAAGTACTAGCTGTAATTTCTGACCTTGTTTGTTTTGGATCTTATCAAATTATCTTCCTATAAATTTAGATTTTTTAATTGTACTAAATAAGTACTTTACAGGGGTGATCTGGAACCATTCAGGAGTTGAGTGGGCCATAAGTTCCTTACATTATTTATTTTGAGGCATAAATTTGCACGTCGGATACCGTATGTAAAGGTTCCTATTTATGAAATCTTAAAATTCACTTGGGGCAGCTTTTAAGCCTCATGCCAGTTTTCATTACACATGCCCTAGACTGAGTAAAGATCCTTGGTTTTTCTTTGTTTAGAACTCCCCTCCCCAGGATTCTTTCAGTTTAGCAGATCAAAATGAGTGACTCATATACGTTTCCCACATTGACTTACAGTTCTCTAGTAGCCCCTTTGTTTCCTTCACTATTTAAATTAGAATTAACAAATAGAGACTGTTTCTGCCTATATTTAGATATTCTCTTCTGGATCTATCCAGTGCTTTCCTCATTTATTGCACTAAAATTGAAGCTACTCAAGCCTCCCTTTCCATCTTTATGTAGGTGCTGTCATAGTTTGCCTTCCCTATTTGTTGACTGCAAAACCCTCAAGGAATCAATCAGTGAAACCATCTTAAAATATAAGGACAGTAAAACTGATAGCTCAGAAATAATCCAGCCCTTTCTTGGGAAACCCTGTTTATTAAAGTTAGCTTTCTAAGGGATTATCTTAATATGATTTTTAGTGATATCCTAGCATATTTACATTTCAGAGTAGTTACTTTAAAATTTGACCATTTTAAAAAATTTAACTTCAAAATGTTTTTGGCTTTGTTAAATCTATGGTGATTACCCTCGTAAGTCACTGGGAATCAGAGGCTTCCTTCGGAGCTTGTTTGTAAAGGCTATGAATAAGAATCTGTAGAAAACAGTTTTGCTCTCTCTTAGATAAGGAGACTAGAGAGAAAAACTTTAATGGAAGCAATCAGGTAGCTTGTAATAGTTTAACCTTGTTGATAAACACTTGCAGTATGTTTTTTCTTCATGAAGAATTGCATAAATGTAGTTGTGAGAACAATAGTTGCAAGGTGCACTATCCCCTTGAGTGTACTTGTCCTTCCTTATGGTAGCAGCAGTACTTATAGAATAATTAATTAGGAAATAGTAGACATGGATTATTAAAATGAATGTCTTAAGTTTATGGTAAATCTTTTACTAATTATTTGATGATTTCTCTTAAAATTTTCACAGTGATTACTCACTTTAGAAATTATTGGATAAAATGTGTTCTTAAATAACCTCAAATATTTAGTGTGAAAAAAACTTACTTTCTATCATTTATCCTATGAGATTTTTTTTTTGAAACCAGAAATAAATTAGAACTAAGCTGCTTTTGTCAGTGCCATGGGTATTGTATCAGATAATTTGTTTTGTTCATCCTTTAAGAAGCTTGAGTTCATCATTAACCAAATGATAATGCAAATAGTGACATATTTCACAACTTGGCAAATCTAATTTTTGAATGCTGAATATTTAAATATAACTTGTACCAGAAGAGTATATACCATTTATTAGTGTACAAACTGAAAACATCTGGGCAACCAGCACCAAAATCATGACACCTTCATGGCCTCTCATGCTCCCTTTTAGTCAATTCTCTGCCTGTCCTAAGTTCTATGTTATGTAAGTAGAGTCTTGCACTATCTATTGTGTGTCTGGCTTCTTTTATACAGTATTATGTTTCAGATTCATCCCTGTGTTGATCTGAACTAGATAATTTTAAGGAATCACTGTGCAGGGGTACTTGTTTGAGATTGTTGCTGATAAATGTTCTCTTATTAAGTACCTTGAGAGTATACATCCAAACTATTTTGTAGCCAACCCAAATGTAGTCCTTAATAATTTATATCTAGTACTTAAGTATTTTTCTGATTACATTCTAGCCTATTCTACTTAAGGACATCTAGTAGAGAATAATACCAAAAGACAAAAATTAGGGAACAGGATTGTTAATGACTTTTTTAGACTATTTCCTCTCTTGCTCCCTCCCTCTTTACTTCTCCGTATTACTTTAAATAATTTTAGAATTAAAAATTGAAAAAACAGGGCTGAAGTTTCCTGTATACTCTCCACTTAGCTTTTTCTAATGAACAAATATCTAAGATACCAAGTCTGGTATTAATAGATGTGGAGATGCAGTTAACTAAGGATGCTTTCAGATTTCCAGCTTTTTTTGCAATACTGATGGTTGGTACACTCACAGGACTCTTTTGTATCACAATTTATGACTATTTTTGTCAGTAGTTTAATCTGTGGTTTATATGTTGAGAGTGGGCCAAGGTAGGATGGACAAATAATGCTACTTTGAGGATCAGGCACATGTTACATATATAAAGCTTATTCTTGGAACCCAGAGTTAAATGAAGATCTAAGGACCTGCTTATAAAATGTTCAGATTACATTAAACTAGGCAAGTGATAGTTATTACAGGTTGACAGCACTTAACAAATTTATGGACTGATGCATATACAGAAATAGAGAAATTAAAAGAACTTGAATGGAAATCGAGGGAAGTAAAAACCTATATTGAGTAGGTATAGTAAAAATATACCCAAATGTGTTAGTTGATTACATTTTATAGTACTTACAAGCAAGTGACAGGCCTTCAAAAGAAACAAAAAACTAATATAATTTTAGGCACTGTTGGTAAAACTAAACAAGACAAGATAATGACAGACCTCTGATATCATATTACTGTGGGATA